TTTAGGGTCTTGGGTTTAGAGTTTAGCTTTCCTGCACAGCAGAGATGTTTAACAGGCTTCGGCTTTGCCACTTAGTATAGCATGGTAGGTGGGTCTGCAAGCTCAGCTTGCTCTTCACAGAAGTACCAATTCCAGCATCGGCAGCATTGAATGCCGCATACTGTGGCGTCCGTTCTCCGCAAGGCTATTGACGCTCCCTGATTTCCGAAGACCCTGTGCGGGGATTTGGGGTTTAGAATTCAGGGGTTCAGGGGTTGAGGGTTTAGGGGTTTAGGGGTTGAGGGTTTACAGGGTTCAGAAGTTTAGGGGTTACGCGTTTAGGCACAAAGCTGCTTTCTGGAGCTGATAGGGCTCGGCTAAGTCTCCGACTAGCCACACAGCGATGACGGCCGCGACAACAACTTGATCGGAACGGCTTGGCTCAAGCCTTGAGTGGGCAGTGTGTGGCTTTCTGAACCCATTTTGAGAAGTTGGTGACCGTCTCATACTGGCACCATTGGACAGTTCTACTTGGAGGTTCATAGGTAGTTATAAGTGGGTTATAAGTCCCCTAATATAGGTTATAGTTATGGTTACCCTACTTATAACCCTACTTATAACTACCCATGAACCTCCAAGTACCAGGGTGTGACCACGAACCTGAGCTGGGCACGCATCCACCACTGAAAGTACCAGCGCCCAATTACTCCAGGCAACAGCCTGAAATGATGTGGGAGTTTCCGAAAATAAGGGTACCTTATTCTGGGGTCCTTATAATCAGGATCCTACTATTTAGGGTACTATATTAGGGTCCCCTATTTTCGGAAACCCCCATGTACAGAGGCAAGGAAAATCGCCTCTTCGCTGCACGTGGCAGAATCTTGGTTCCGAGTGCCGTGCCCACCCCAAGCAGGTGATTGTTGCCAGCAAAAAGAAGCGAAGAAAGCCTCGCACACCTGCACCAAATCAGCTCAAAATGGCATCCATCGCATGGCTGCGCATAGACAGAGCTGGAAACTGTCCAGCAATCACATTAGACTCGACCATCGACATGTGAATCGGCAGATGAAGCTCCAGCACCTGAGAGCTCTGCACCCCATAACCACCCAACATAATTGTTCATGCGATGCAGGAACAAGACTTACGGACTGCAAGTCAAGCTTATGTGGCCTTTCGGCATCAGTCCCACCTCCAAACACTCGATTAGGCATGATTCACAGTGCCAAAGCGATCTGGCTGGCCGGTTCCCTATGTTGCGTCAGCCTAGTCAGGAACATGTATTGCACGTCCTTTTCCCTTCAGAACCTTGTGCTTCTCGCTTAACTGCTGCTTGCCTGCCTTGGCCCTTCCTGCTTGCAACTCCCCGGCAGTACTTCATGGCCTCGTTGCGGATGATACGGTTTAGGGTTTCTGGGGTTTAGGGTACAAAATAGGCGAAAGCTGGAAGACAGGGGTCGCACCAGGTGTGTCATCAGCGCACAGCTGAAAGTGAGCCTCAACTTCGCTTTCCCCGTGTATTAAGAATCCAAGCGTAGCTTACGAGCAAGTTTGAGCCACCCGCAGCGCTGCAATGCAGGAGGACAGTAGGGCCTTGCCAGGCGCCAAGGCCGCGAGTTCCCTTACCCGAAGCCAACTTGGAGGTTCATGGGTGGTTATAAGTAGGGTTATAAGTAGGGTAACTATAATTATAACCCTATTAGGGGACTTATAATCCCACTTATAACTACCCATGAACCTCCAAGAAGCAAAGGAATCTTGAATGCATGACCTCGCCTGCAGAAGGTTGTCTTGTGCGATGCCCATGAACCTCACAATGATGGCCGTCAGCGATTGCTTTGTGGTCGCAGGATGCAGAGCCAGGTCGTGGACCACTCTACAAGTGCGTTGGTCCTCGGCAGATGCGTTGAGACATGAAGCTGCATCGGCGGATCGGCTGACCAGCATCACGCAACAATGCCAACTTGCAAGGAGGCCATGCCTCTGAGTCCCCAGCTTCCCAACAGAAACCGAGATTGGAATCCAGGCAGCTGCATCGATAACGATTTGGAAAGAGAACTTCCTGTCTTCAGTCGTCGGGAGTCGCAGCCGGACATCTGAAAGAAGTGACTACCAAGCCTTGATACTGGGACTTAAACCAGACCAATGCAGCAACGGGTTATTCTCTGTAGGAAGTGCCTGCGCATGCCAAAGGCCAGGGAGACTTCTGCCCTTGCATTCTAGCACCGAGAGACACTCCCAAGCAGTCCTTGCCAGCGGATTCTTCTTCGGGTCCGCAATCCAGTCCTGGCCTCAAGACCCCTAAACCTTAAACCCTACTTGGAGGTTCATGGGTAGTTATAAGTGGGGTTATAAGTCCCCGAATATGGATTATAGATATAGTTACCCTACTTATAACCCTACTTATAACTACCCATGAGCCTCCAAGTACCCTAAATAGTAGGATCCTTATTATAATGACACCCTCAACCCTGCGGTCAGGCTGAACTCAGGCAAAACAGCAAATGCTTCTACGCGGTTTCAGGCGCGGCTGCGGGGTCGTCGGTAAGTTGCAGAAGGGGGTAGAATGGGGCAGGCAGGCAGAGTGTCATAGTGCCCGGATGCTGAGATCTTCAGACAGGTGGGGGTTGCCGGAAATAGGGGACCCTAGTGCCTAATATGCGACCGTGAATAGTAGGATCCTTATTACAAGGACCCCAAAATACGGTACCCCTTATTTTCGGAAACTCCCAAGTGCTTTGGAACAGATGGCTCCAAGAGCTCAGGCGCTACGTTAGCAACTGCTGGTCCAACGCAGCTTTTCTCCAAGCTGTGCTTACTGCGAAGTTTGTGCAGCGGAGGCCAACTCAAGCTTACTCCTGCGAGCTGGGCTTTGGGCCAGCCTGTGCCCCGTGCATCATTAGCTGAGCCTATCATCCCTAAGTTTTTGCCGAGAACTGGCATACCCAGCCCAAATCCATCGAGGCAGGCCCTCTCGAGGCTTTAATTATTTTAAACGATGAGCTGTCAGTGCCAACGCCGACAGCTCTCGGCTCGACATCCTTGCCATCGAGGAGTGTGAACCCGATCTTACACCTGCGAGCTGAGCTTTGGCAAACGTTGGGCAGGAAAAAGATCTCCAGTGCAGGTAGGCTCGACCCTGGCAGCTTTAAACGATGCGCCGTCCTGCGTACCGCTCTCGGTTCGGTATTGCCGATCGACTCTGGGTCGAAGTGCTGCCGGACAAACATACTACTGTACTGTCTCGTTTATGGGTAGTTCTCTAAATTTGGGTCCCTTTTCAGGTCCCCATTATAGTACGGCACCCTTACAAAAAGGACCCCCAAAGGGACCCTAATTTAGAGAACTACCCTTATGTTACAGTATGATGTGCAAGGATGGAGCATTTCAACGCCTCTCCCGCAAAGAACCACATCTCCTTTTTCGTCAAAGCTTCACGTTGAAATGCTCGACTTCCTTTCCAGGAGGTAGCAGGACCGGTTTGGTTTCCTGCAGAAACTTCCAGCTGGCAGGCCATTGAACGACTCCCATCGGCATTGGCCAGGGTAGCCGGGACGCGCAAGCGGATTAGATATCAAATATCAGTTTCCAAGCTACAGTACATGGCGCAACATCCATGCCCAGTGCCAGCAGAAAACACGTGGGTAGCATCGTCAAAACAGGCAAAACAGGTGAGACTGTCTGTGTTGCGCAAGCACCCGAGTGCGATGATGCAAGATGCGGACAAATCCGCTTTCGGGATCCGAGCGGAAGTAACTCGAGTTGCTGTGTGAGCGATCAGCTATGGATGAAACTCCTGGCCACTGGCTACTTCGAGATTCAGGATCTCAGTCGGCCAAAACAAATTCCAGCATGCATACCACAAGCCTATTCTGATGCCGCGCCCACGTGTGCAAATGCAATTTTCGAAGACGAGATTTGGTTCTGGAATCAGGAAACAGAGTAGTCTTGCTAGAGCGATCTAGAGCGATAGCGGCCGCCCCTTCAGGAACGACTCCAGCTCAGAGCAACCTTCAAAAGTGCTGGCTGCCGGCTGACCATGGACTTCATCTGCGTCAGGTGCCCTCTGAGCCTCAGCGTCTGCCTGTGCCTCCAGGTAGCCTCTCAGAAGGTTGCGTGCAAAAGCAGCCTTGCGAGCCCAGTGTTGCAGGTCGTCGTGAGCCATGTTCGGCGAACTCTCCCGGCTTTGTAAGAGATTCAGCATGGTCTTCTTCAGGCGCATGCGAATCTGCTTTCCCGGCCTCTGTGGGCTGATTTCCAAGGTCTGCTTGTGAATGTGACAGAACGGACAAGCATCCCTGTGGCACCCAGCAGAAGTAGCAAAGAAGATACAGGGATCGCAGGAACCCAAAAGGTGTGGCATCGCAGGACCCTCGTCCAAAGAAGAGTGAGCCGCATCGTCTTCCATACGGGTCTCGTTGTCCGATGACGAAGACGCCATGATTGAGCCCTTTACAGGAGCTAGAACTGAGATGTTGCGGCAAATGCAACATGCTGAGATATGCTGAGATGCCTTGTGGCCGCTCATGCCGTGGGTGCGAGTTGCATGTCCGCAACAGTATTGAAGCACACGCCAAGCTTACAAGAAGACAGCAGTGAGCAAAAATGAGAACGCGCCGAAAAGGGACATGCGTAATCAGACGAAATGAAAGCTAAGCCAATTATTGGCCTTCTAGTGCAATAATGGGGGACATTGATAAGGTAGGAAGGCTGACAATGCAACATTAAGTTCTGCTTGCGGCTTCAATGCATGCCGGCTGTGAACTCCCGTCCATTCAGCGGGGATCGCAGGTGACTGCACGAAATCAACACAAAATCGAGGCATGGGAGGAAGGCAGGATCGGATGGCATGTGCCTCACCAGCACTCGACATCAGCTAGGGCTCCGACAAAACCAGCCGAATAGCGAGCAGGCAGCCAACGACACGAAAAACAGGAGAATGCCAGTTAAGACCTGAGCCATGATAACTTCTGTATTTTCATGGGTAGTTATAAGGCTCCTTTAAGGGATCTATAAGATCTATAAGAGGGTTCTACAAGGGCTCTATAAGGGGTCCTATAAGGGGTCTATAAGGGATCATATTTGGAGGTTCATGGGTAGTTATAAGTAGGGTTATAAGTAGGGTAACTATAACTATAACCCATATTAGGGGACTTATACCCCCACTTATAACCACAAGTATGCAGACCGGTCGGCACCAGAATCATGCATGTTGATTCCTGGAGCCCTGTGACGCTCTCGAGCTTTCTCTGGGTGCGCAACGCATGCACCGTCCTTGTGACAGTGCGCAAACCTGAGTCGAAAGGGCACTGGTGGGTTCACGGCTGTGTTAACGGCTATGAAAACCATGTCTCACGATCGACGCAAGACGCAAACTGGGCGCATCACCAAAAGCCGGCCTGTGCGGCGTCCTGTCCTGTGATAATGAGCCCGGCACAGTCCAAACCTTAGCAGGACATATCAGGACTGAGGTGTGATGCAGTCTTTGCGAGACAGTGCATCTGAAAGCTTCAAGCACTGATGCCGCTGTCCGTTTAAGCTTAACCAGTCCGTCAGATAGCTGGGGCAGTGATACAAGTACAGATGCTTTCAGACAGGTCAAGTCTGGCATATGTTTTGCCATTGCATCTATGCGGTCGTCGAACTGCGACTGTGCCTCTTGAACATTAAACCGCTTGCAACAAGATCTTAACATATAAGACGGTGGCATAATCTCATAACCACCGCAACGATAACCGTGGAGGCCAGTCGGATGTAGGCGACCTTAGATGACAGCGAGGAAACGCCTCGAACTGTGACTGCACAAAGGCAAGAGGACGATACGAATGTACAATTCCCGGGTGATGTTGTTGGCCCTAGGTTCCACACGATAGTTCGCCCCGCCAACACGCGCAGGTCATGCAGCTCCTTACATATACTGTCAATCAGGCAGCAATAAGGACAGCAAAGTGGCGGCACCTCTTTGCCCCACAGCATGGTGTCGTCCCCATGCTTCTGAACAAGGCAACTCAATGCTAACTCAATATCTTGCCTAGGCTGTTTTGTCTTTGCATTCATTTCTACGACTTATGCTTGACCTGCCGCTACACACAGCCATACCTCAAGCTAGTACATCTGTGGCTGCTCCATACATGTTGACCCATGTGATTCCATGTGTGTGTTTTTCTTCTTGTGCTCACTAGCTCACTGGAACCTTCTTGGCACGGCGTGTTGTAACGATGCCGCCAGAAAGCCGAACCTCATAATGGCACCTATCGGCACTACAGTGCTTAGTTAGGTTGCCTCACATCTTATGGTCCTCGAGCACCCTCGTGCTTGCATACTGTACAGCTTGGAGAATTCATGCAAATAGCTACTTCGTCAAAAGCTGTGCGTTTGGCAGCAACCAGCTACGAGAGCTTCTCATGACCACGGTCTTCCCAAGAGTCCCCAAAAGAGGCGATGCCTGTCCCTTGCAACAGTGATTGAACTGTGACAGACTGGCCAGAGAAGCTTTAGGTGTGCATTGGCGGAGTCTTGACTGCTGCTTTTGGTTTGCTTGGGTTCATGCTGGCAGAGGTCTCCGGTGATCACTGCGCCTTTTTGCTCCGGATGGCCATGCGGAAGACCGTACTAGCATATCTGATGCCTGTCCGGTCTTACTTCATAGACGAGGATGGGGGCTTCCCCGTCCACCACTTGCGCAGTCAACTTTGATCGGAGGTTACCAATGAGGCGCCACTGGCCTTGCTTCCTCGATTCCAGCTGTCTTGTTTCGCAGAGGAATAAGTAGCCTTTGGCGGTAATATCGATCTTGCACAGCGTGAAATCTTGCTGATGGAGTGTAGGGCGAGTCTCTCCATCCGGGCGCCACTGCATGAAAGAAAGGGCACGTTCCAAGGCTTCAGCCGCTCGGCGCCGAAGGCCATAGCGCTTGGAGTATGGATCAGGAGGAGATCCATCTTCTGAGTCCAACAAGGCGACCTGCTCTGAGGTCAACGCAACCCATAGCTCGATGCCGTCCGAGCGGACCCTGGTGTCTCCCAGTTCACCCACCGGAGAACGGCTGCGAGACATGGCTGGCCTTCACAATTAGACTGGGGTCGTGGGGTATGTCAAAATCAATAATAGTCGAAGTGACAACAAGGGGATAACCGTCAATATAGCTGTTTCATGTATATACATATATGTATGTGTGTGTGGGTGAAACTCTATTAATATTCTATGGCCGCCACTGGAAGCGAATCAAACTGAGCCGAAGAACGAAAACGGATGTCTCTGTTGGCGAAACGCCTGCAATCGCTTGCATCAGTCGTGGCAGCGTCTTATTATACACTTTTTCGAAGAGATGCGGGCATGCAGTAAAGACGAGCCTGGGCTGTCCCGCCGTTGAGCGCCCATTTCACGGATGCGCGCATACGGCAATTACAACCCGAGCCGCGGGACTGTGAAAAGCTGTGTCCACCTGTCAATAGAGCTGGGGAGGGTGCCTCAGGCACGCAGCCACGATGTACTAGTTTCTGGACACCGGTTTCCCCCAGAGCTGCGGAAACACATCCAAGCTTGCGGCCTCAGCGTGCGGTCAGAGGCACCGGAGGAAGGCGGGCGCAGCGGGTGCGCGTTGCAGGAGACCTCTGAAATGCAGCCCAGCCCAAGCCGCAACGTATAGCGCGAGCTGAGACCAAAGCATTTTCATGGGAGGTCTCGGTGGCGATCCTCGGGGGTTGATGGCTTAAGAGTTCAGAAAGCTGCCGCGTGGTCCTGGCCCTGTCCGAGCGCTGGTCCTGCCGGCCCTATCTCCACGGCCTTGCCGGGCTTAGGCAGAGAGAGGCCGAGATTCGAGGCTACACCCTGCCTGCTGCTTGGGCAACGGATCCTGCGCACCGTAGTTGCCCTTCGGCTTCAGTCTTCCCAGGTTGCCGTGCATGCCGTGGCGTGCGGTGAAGGACCATTCCGTCGGATCTTTGACACCAAAGTCCGGAGACTCACAGCGCTGGCCATACGTCATCGCTGCTCGGTTTGAGCGCAGCCCACCCAAAGCGGCGAAGCCGAGCGGCAGAGGTTCATCCGGAAGGCCTTGCGTGGCCACGGTCTGACGGTCTGAAACCTCTGCGGCCGTGAGCTCATCGGAGGAACGGCGTCTTTGCCCAGTGGATGGTGGCCGCGGTCGCGCTGCTTCGCGTTCCAGATCTGCTTGCACCGTGGCGTTGGCCTCCAGCACACAGGACATCTTCCTTTCACGGCACGGTCTTGGCGAATCAGCTCCGTGCATTGAACTCATCAATCTTGGTGTCACAGGCATGCAGCCTGAAGCCCAGAGGCCCAAACGGATGGAAGTGTTGAGAGGGAGAGAGAGAGAGAGAGAGAGAGAGAGATAGAGAGAGAGAGCACAAGCAATGCCAAAGCCGCTTGTGAAAACCTCTGGGAAGCCCACTCTGCACGTAGTCGCAACAGAAGAGCCCTGAGCTCCGAAATCATTCAAAAAGCTACCGCAAGCTCTGCGATCACGACGCAATGATGCGACTATTCAACACAGTTTATATAGGGGCCTTAATAATTAGAATTAGGTTTTCGGGGTATATTATACTATAATCAGGAGCCCCCAGAATTGGTAACTATTTATAGGCCCCTATAATTAGACAACTAAACCCTAAACAACCCGAAAGCCCTAAACCCTAAATCCTCAACCCTAATACTAAAACCCAACCCCTAAACCCTAAACATGCTTCGAGTCTTGCCTCGCCTGTCATTGGGATTGACAGTTCCATTGGCTTGGAGACACACGATCCTGCTGTGGCGGTTCAGGGTTTAGGGCTGTGGCACATATGGGGCAGCTCTTTGAGTTAGGGTCCCCTTTGTAAGCCCCCAATATAGTACGGCATCCTTATTAAAAGGACCCTAAAAGGGACATAAAGGGACCCTAGTTTAGAGAGCTACCCATATCAGCGAAATCGCACCATCGGAGAAGCAGATGAAGTTACGAAGTGTGCGAACCATGAGAATGGCGACATATACAGGGAGGGCGCGGCACGTCTCTGTCATTCTGTTCAGGACTGTGTCTTCGACCCAGTCGACATGCAAGCTAAAGTTGGGGCTACGGGCCGAAAGTGCTGAAACTTAGCCTACAGAAAAAACGAAACTTGCACAACAGACAAGTGCCCCAGAAATCCCCAAACGGAAGTCCTGGCACAGCAACAAGCAGCATTATATGAAGCGGCATGGAGCAAATGGAAGAAGCAGGATGCGCAGGCCGCAGGGTCCTGTTCATCACCCACTTCTGGCGATCCTGCACCATCGCCTCACAGGCCAAAAGAAACATGTCAAAAAGAGCACCTGCTCGTCAGTTCAGAATGCCCCAGCAATGCTTGACCGTCAACGTCTCTTGTATTCTCTTGTTGTAGATCTTGCATCGTATGATTTCCAAAGAGGTTGCTCTGCAGCCTTTAACTGGCAGCGTTTCGATGAATGGGCAAAAAGCTAAGTAACTACCCATAGGCCCCATAGTAGTTCCTTTTTGGGGTTCATATATAGAATCCCATAAGGTAACCCAGAAAGGAACTACTACGGGGCCTATGGGTAAGTTACTGTAGAACTCGTAAGACCAGTTGCGATGCTAGTGATCGGACAGGGAAATTCTCGAGCTTATGCTCAATGCTCTGACTAAGCTCTGACGGTGTACACCTCGGATTTCCGTAATATTAATATTCTTATTCTTGTTATTACTATTATTATTATTATTATACTATTATTATAATTATTACTATTAATATAATTACTATCATTATTACTGTCATTATTATTATTATTATTATTATCTATGCCGTTCCTTAGGACCTGCCCGTGATACAAGCATCGCCGATGTGCCTGATCCTCTTCAGCAACCTGCAGCTTGTACTTCGCAAGCTCCACAGCGACATCTTGGTTGACCTGATGACCGCGTGTGGAAAGGACCGGAGAGAGCAGGGAGAAGGGTTGCTGAGACGGTCTCTCGGCTGGCTTGTCGTTGGTGCTCTTCTGAGATCTGACGCCTCGGAGAGGGAAGAGAAAGAATCTGCGACCTTGGGTCGTAGACTCGTATAGGCTAGGCTTCAAGCTCAGAGTCAGAAAGCAGGCGGGAAGCCAGTTGAACCTCGTATTCCTGCAAGTCCTGCTGCACGGCCTGTCTGGAAGAGCCCAATGGCCCAAAAGCTGATTCTTGGCTCTCCCACGACCACAGCCACGTCTGCTATGCAAGGTGCCTTCTCCACCATCTCTGTCTCCAACTGGCAGAGGTGCCTTATATTCAGTCCCCCTCTGCAGTAGCAACCGAAAAAAGTACACAATTCGGCAGTGCACTGCAGTGCCAGGCGCTGCTCTGCCGCATACCTGCGCATCAAAAAGGCCCCAAAACTCGGAAAAACACTGGCGGAAAACTGGGGAACCGACGCCCGCTTCAGAGCCAGCAGCTCGTCTCGCTGCATCTCACTGAGCAACTTGAGCCTCGAGCTTTTTCGAGCTTATAGGGGTAGTTCTCTAAATTAGGGTCCCTTTTGGTGTCCTTTTTATAAGGGTATTGGGGATCTAACAAGGGACCCTAATTTAGAGAGCTACCCATATGGGGTTTGCGAAAATAGGGGACCCTAATACCATAGTACCCTAAGCAGTAGGATCCTTATTAAACATGACCCCTACTAGCCCCCAGATAAGGTACCCCTGATTTTCGGAAACTCCCATGTAAGGTAGAGTTCCTGGATTTCAAGAACACTAATAATACTCGTAATAGTAATAGTAAAGGATAATGATAACCATAAGAACAGTAATAATACCTCACAGTATTTAGGGTTCATATAAGGTAGAGCTCCTTGATTTCACTTTATTTTAGGGTCCTGATAAAAGGTTCCCACAAATTCGTAAATTTAGGATACTATATTAGGGTCCCCTATTTTCGGAAACCCGCATGTGAAGTAGAGTTCCTTGATTTCAATACTGTGATCTTGTCTTCGCCCCTTTGAGGCTCAAGCGCTCGCTCAAGGAGATTCTGGCACAAAGTTCTGTACCTCGGCTGCAAGTTGCCCAATGGAGCTGTACACAATTTAGGGTTTAGGGTACAATGAGCTCAAAGAATCTGCACGATTCTGCACGCATGGCGCACAAGAAGCTCCCCTCGAAAGCTGCATCATCAACATCTGCCTCCCACGGGATCCCAATGGTGTGGTGTGCCTTTGGGGAAGCAGCCAAACGCCCCAGCCTGAGGCCCACTTCCGCTGCGGGGTGGGCTGGAGCCTACGCACAGTGCATCCCGTGGGTTGTGGAAAGCAGAGCCTTTCGGATGCCGCATGCGGTTCGGCTGCAGGCAGATTCTGCGCACCCCTCAACCGCGAAGCCCTGCAACCCTTAAAGCCAATGAGGCCTTCGGTTTCGGCATGTGCCGCCAACCTCGGCAGCTCCAGGACGCGACAAGAGATGGCAGCGTCTCATCGTGCAGCCTTCGGGCACTGGGACCGCGGCTCAGCTGGTAGAGGTGGCAGGTCCTCTACACCATCTTGACTAGAGCCTTGCGAGGGCAAACTCCGAGTGCAGCAAAAGATCGCTTGGCAACACCTCCGACGGTGAAATTGCGCCTGAGGGCGAGAGCCACAGGGCTCCCAAGGAACAAAGGCCTTCACTGCTGTCAGGGCCATGTGATGTGGGCGCTGGAATCATCACCGCCAAGTCCCCAACGTAGCACAAGCAGGTAGTCTTGGAATTGCCGGCGCATGGCCTGAAGCTCGTCCGAGCCCGATTTCGGTCGCAGCCACTGCTCTGCTAAGTCCGCAGCATCTGACACGTGTCGATGCTGCCGCATCCGCAATAGTCCGACGATGGAGGCAGCCTGAAGTCGGACCATCTTGGAAAACTAAGTCCTCCAGCATGCACACGTCAAATACTTGAAGTCTCCGCCTGATGACTCTCTGGCAGCTCCTCATGATGGCGCATCTGTATCAAAGTCACCGAAGTTAGTGCATGAAATGAACTAGCTTGATCACGCATGGATTCTTGTGGCACGTCTGTCCTCATTGTCTCGCTCCACCCCTTCTCTCTGCACAAACCTTGAGGCAGCGTCTCTCTGTACACAGTTTCGAGCCAATGACATGTCTGAGTTCCGAGCTTTTCCACACAGTTGCGGAGCTGCTGCCTGGACCTAGGACGTTGAACACCGTGCAGCAGCAGCCGGAGCGGAAATGGATTTAGGGTTTAGGGTTTAGGGTTTAGGGTTTAATGGAAGAACAGCAGGCCCCGCACTGATCCTCCAGCTCCTTCCTCAGCTTCGTTCGCATCTCCATTCGGCTCGTCAGGAGGCTCTCCACCTACCAGGTTCACACATGCTTACAAAACCGGCCTGTACAATCTATACGGAGATTGAACAGACTTCTTCGGGGACCTGGTCGATCATCAGCCCAACGCCAGTGTACTGCGACCTCTCTCATATCGATGTGCCACCAAGTGCAAGAGACAAGAAGCCTCGACAGAGCTTGCACGGCTAAGCTGCGAACCCGCGCGCTGGCAGCTGAGAGGTAGCGGAACTGACACCTCTGATATCTTGCGTGGCGAAGTGCCCAAACAGCCCTAGACTCCCTGATAAAGGGACACTATACCATGGGCATATAGGGCTTAGGGTTTATATAGGGTTATATAGAGATTGCACATAGGACATATAGGCCTTACTTATATTAAGTCAGAGTTTAAGGATCTACCTGTTTCTGAGGAAAAAGGCCGCGATTCAGGCATCTTGGGCTCTTAAAAAGCCAGGCTCACAAGCAGAAGGGCGAGGGCAACACATGAAGCAACGCAGATCGGCTGGTTCCTTAAAGGGTTCTATAAGGGCTACTGTAATGGTTTAGGGTTTAGGAAGAGAGAGTGAGAGATGTGAGAGTGACAGTTGAGAAAGCAAAGACACGAATAAATGACGGAAGAAAGAGGTAGAGAAGGCTGATACAAAGTAGGCTTCCACTGCGCTGAGGTGCCCGCAGCCTGTGCAACCCACGGAATCCTCGGAACTTTCAGACGACGGAATCGTCGAGTCCGCTGCGCTGTGTGCTCCAGAAACACCATGCAAGCAACCAAGTGGCTGCAGCCGCAGTGATAGAAGTCTGAAGAGCTCGAAGACAGGACTGAAAGTCTCTGCTTTTCATGGCCTGAGCCTCAGTCGAAATCTCACAGCACTCGGTCATGTTTTGCAACTCCAGAAGCGAAGTGAGGCGCCGGCGCTCACCGAGCCAGCACGCTCGGCATTCCGAAGCCAAGCATCCTAAGCAGGTCAGGCTCGAATCTTGTGGGGCGAGGCACCCTAAGCCGCAGCCTACATTAAAGCCCAAACCCGGAATCCTAAACCCAAACCTCCCAACCCTAAACACTTCAACCCTAAACCCTGAACTCAAAGTATAACCCCCAAAATCCGAACTCAAAGTACAACCCCCAAAATCCGAACTCAAACTA